GTATGATGTTTGCGGCGCTACGCGCTCTTATTTGAAGACTGTTTTCAGAAGTCATTCTTGAACTATGGGATAAAAAGCTATAAGCATAATTACGTGGTAAAGAGAATAAATATGTTCTGCCTAGATAGTTAACCAGGTGAGGTTAAACAAGATAAGATGAATTCGGGGCTTTTTAGCAACCTGACAGTCTTCATTTTAAGCTACAATGTAAAGTGCTTTATCCTGAGATTAGGTATTGTGGCAGAAGCTAAAACTGCCTTTTTCCCCTAACCGTGCCAGAATACAACCTCCTTTTCTTTTTGCGCTAACAAGACTGCTTTACCACCACAGCCCACTCTAAGTAATTAAATCAATCCTTTGTACTTACCGTATTCTCCTCTAGTGACGGTACTAGATCTGATTATATGCTTCATGCATATTCAAAGTACGGCACTGACAGCTCTTTAATGAGCTCTTACTTAATCAGGACGAACAATGTTCATCTTGTTCTTTTTTTCCCCTCATACATTAGAGCTAGGAACAGTTGGGGAAAAAAATGAAACATCCAGCATTCATTTGAAAAATATATTGTACTTTGAAAAGTGTCTAAGCTGGGGAAGTTGCATTCTGCCCTTTAAAAGTCTGATGGACAAATTGGATTACTAGTATTGGATTAAATAACAAATGGTTAGAGGAGAAATGAGAAAAGCTCGCTGTGATCACAGGCTTTAATATTTTTTGTTACTTATAAAGCTGAAGGGGTCTTTAACCAGTTATTAAAGTCAGGATTAATTTGTAATGGTCCAACTTACTAGCTTTAAAAGGGTTTTGTTGTTGTTGTTGTTGTTTTTTTAGCGAAAACAATAGTGTAATGCATGTATTATGGGAAAAAAATTTAACTTTAAGATCTGTGGGCTATTTATAGATTTTCATCGTCTTGTAGTGGCTCAGATAAGGGGTTTGCATGTGTGGGATCAATTTGTTCTCAAACACGTTTTCAGTTTCATTTAAATAATCTGTACAGTTGTTTTGGTTTGGTTTTTTTTTTCCCAAGAACACCACAGATATTTTTTCCCTGTTTTAATTTTCAAGCATTTGTAGCAAGTCAATTAAATAACTTGTTTTACACTTGGAAAGGGGAATCAAAACCAAGCCCAGCAACAGCAGCAGGGTTTTACAGAGTGAAACTGTGCGGAAGAAAGGCTTTTTCTAAATTTTTTGTTTACAAATTGTACCTGTGAGTTCAGCTGCAGTGACAACACTCAGTTTTTCTCTGCTGGAAGTGTTCTGCGTGCATCATTCCACCAAGGGGAAAAAAAAAAGGAAAAAAAAAAAAAAAGTAATGTGCTAATGGCACTGTATTTACTGAAAAGAGTTATTTCATTTTTTTTTTTTTATATGTGGCAGTTTATCTTTATTTTGCTTGCCTGGGAAGAATCAGTTACAGCTCCATGCACAAGAATTTAAAAGCTGATGGTCAACAACTAAAATATCAGCATGGCTGGCTATTAATATTGCACACATGTGTCATTTCACTGATCAAAAAGGCCTTCGTCGGGGTACAATTGGCCTTTTTCCAAATTGCAAGCTTTTTCTCAGCTTTTTCTTTTTCACTCTTTCTTCTTTTGTTGCCGCCCGGGGATTTGTGCCTATCGCAGCCGCTATCACATGACCGGTGTCAGGGCATCACATGGGTCCAAAGCGAATACAAAAACAGATTAAAAATTCTGTAAAAACAATCGAGACTTTGTTAACTCACTTTTAAACCAGCCTGTTCTATGGATATTGCGTGTGCTTCGGTGTCGGCGTGGAAATATCGAAATAGGCACCTGCTCGGATCTGACTCGACAGCTCCGAGCTTTACCCACAGCTTTTCTCGTTAGATGTCGCAACTGACTTTATTTAGGAGCAGTGCATTAATAGGAGGAAGTTTATCTCTTAAAGTTTACGTTCTTAACCCTGAGATTGCATGGCACGAAGTTCAAGTTCAGATCCACTGTCGAGTCCAACTCCTTTGAAACATTGCTGTCTCCCATTGCAAGGCTTGCAAAATGAAATGCAGCAAGAGCTGGCATTTATAATGGCATCTCTTAGCCAGAGATCGCACACCACCCCAAACCAAACAAATTTACTCTCAGAAATTGATTTAAACGTTACTTTTGCCACATACCTCTGGTTGTGAGAATTTCTTTTTGCCAGCAGTGTGGTAATCTCACGCGTCGCAGCATCAACTGATCATTTTGCAAGGGGAAAAAAGCTATCTATCCCCTTTGTCTTGCCCTCACCCCCAGATAAATTTCACCTACTTGGTGCATTTCAATGCAAGCTTGCTAATATCGATTCTCATCTGCTTCTGAAAGCAGACCCCGTTAGAAGGACCCATGCAGCAATGCCTTTGATCTGAAACTTCACAGCAAAGTGTACCTCTAAATTCTAATCCTCTTTGGGGGAGCGCTGAACTGCTGAATCTTCCCGTAAGTGCCCTGGTGTAATATTTTCTGTGCAAAACCAGAAGTGGAGATCTTGGGCAAGAGCGTTTCTATGGGACAGATTTCTTCCTTCATCGCTCCATCATTCAGGAGCTGGACCTTATTTCTTCAGCTTGCCAAAGGGCTGCAGGGTCATCCCTACTTTAGGATGCTCTGTGCTTCCCATTGTGCTGCTAGCAAGTTCTGTACCCTACAAGCAGCTTTCCAGGGACAATTTCATCAAGCAGGGACTTCCCAGGGTGAGAAGTGGATGATATAAGGGGAATGTCTCATATCAGAAAAAAGAGCACACCAAATGGCACAATGGTTTTGTACTGCCTGGGTCCACCAGCTCTGACTGGAGCTGACCCACTCCCCTGAGCTGACCCACTTCCCTGTTCATCTCCTTTCCTTCCCCCGTGTGGATGCACCAAGCCCACAGGCCACGGCGGGGGGAATCAATCAGTTTGGAGAAGACTGGTGACCTTTCCTTGCGCACAGCAGGGTCATAGCCAGGTGAGGAGGTGGTTCTCCACGCAGATCTGGGCTTGCACACTACCGTGGCGTTGGGCTGTGAATGTGCGTGTGGCAGGCACGTACGTGCAAGCATTTCCAACACTCCTGTTCAGAAATTGAAAACTTTATTTTAGAACAAAACATTTTTTTTTTAAATTTTTCTGGAGTCTTTCCAGCTTGTGGTGCTGGAAATTGCTTCTCCTCAACTAGGGACCCTATGGTTGAAGTGAATAAGATGACTTCCCCGAGCGTACGGCACCTTGCATCAAGAGATTTCAAAACCCTTTGCAAACATCAAAGAATTAACTTTTAGCACCCTTTCAAGATCTGTACGGGTGTTTATCCCCATATTACACACAAGGTGCTTAAATGCAGG